AATACCAAATTTCACCCTTTTGAGTTATGTCTCATTTCTCACTTATTCCCTAACCTCTTTGTTCCCTTTTTTCCTGTGTCTACCAGACATCCTTTTTATGGGGGGTGGTTGCAAGTCAACAACATTTATTTTGGTCCAAAGAGATTCTCCATTAACTAGATAAATCACTAGTGTGAAACATTCCTTCTTGTAATAATCAGGCACAAAATCATCAACCTGTAAATGTTGATCCTTCATACATGAAATTTCATGACAGCATGGTAGCCCTGTCAACATCCACCTTCTACATTAACACTCACGCTTTGGCAGATTAACAATAAACTTTTCTTCTATGAGTGATATATGTCTAACCTCGTAGTCTACTTCACCTGTACGCATGTTATAAATATTGAAACCAATTATGGACCAATGTTATATCAACTGTTTGTTCTTTGTCTTAAACAAGTATGAAGCATTCCATAACAATCCAATTGTTTGTTCTTTGTGATTCCTTTTCCAACTTCTTTTTTATATTGGGCAGAATGGTATAAGCATATTTGGAAATCTTTTGTCTGTTGGACTTCCAACTTTGCATTAGGCACACTTTTTTCTCTTCAAGCATAACCACAATAGGCTTGGCTCTTGTAGCTACAAATATTGAGTTAGAGGCTTCTGACATGTTTTTTTTACCAAAGTATCACACTTTGGACCATTTCTAAACCTTGGTTTGCTCTAGAACCTTGGCAGGATCTTCCAAAAATGTTTGAATGCCTCTTCATTAACATTTTTCATTTCACGCATAATTTTTTCCCAAACATTTGAGTGACTTGCACTAGCAGCCTTCTACATCAATTCCTTTAATTTGATACCATGAAACTTCTTTCGGAAATTGCTATATAAGTGCCTAACAAGAATAACACATGTCAAACATCCACGTCAGTAACTAGTACAAGAATAAAACATATCAAATCTGACTTAACAATAATGTTTACCTAACACAAAACCTTTGGTCAACTTTTGACAGCAACTCATCAAGTGCAGACAACAACCCCTGTATTTTAGGCAAACCAAATCAAATTTAAATCTCTTGCATAATCTATCATAAAACAAATCAGTTATAAAGAAATAAGTACACATCTTTTGTTGATCACTTATAAAGATATATGTTTTGCATAATCTAACACCTCCCAAATCAGTTGTCAATAGATCCAATAACCAACTTCATGAATCTTTAGTTTCTCCCTCAACTACAACAAATGCCATTGGCAGCATCTGGTCATTAGGATCCCTCCCAATGACTGTAAAATTTTTCCACCATAGTAGCCTTTCAAAAAGCACCCATCCAATCCTATGATAGGTCTGCACTTAAAGAAACTATCATTGCAAGCTTTGAGGCATATATAAATCCTTTGAAAATATGAATTCACAGACATCTCAGGATTCTCACTACTTTTCTCTCCACTTTGACTTGGTTGACTTGTAATTTTCACAGTTAAACCAGGGTTTGCTCTTAACAGCTCATGATCATAATAATGGATTCTTGTATATTGCTCCCTAAATGAACGATCAACAATGTTAATATTAAGTGACTTAGCTCTATATGCAAGTGTCTTTTTGATCCCCTACATTCCACTTTTGTTTTGTTTTCTCCAATATATCAGTCAACTTCAAATTAGAATTCTCTCTTATGTTATTTTGAATCTTTTTGCCAAACCATTTGGAATTTAGGAACCTAACCTTATAATCCATGCTGCATGTGTGCTTGTCTATAATTTTTCTCAACTGCCAAGTATTATCATCTTGTAATTTGCATAATATGACTCTCATGGACAACCTTTCTTACATATGACTTTCATCCTCTTGTTATCATTTTTCTTAAATTTGAGGTTTCTACCTTAATGAACAGCATAAGTTCTAACTGCCTCTTTAAAGTCTTCCCTAGTAGCAAAATAATTTCGTAATTCCCACTTGTAATCATGCATTCTTTTTGGAAGCTTGAAAGTTGGAAAATCATCTTTTAAAATCTCATCATCTTCACTATCATAATCATGTGGTAACTCATCACTGTCATACTCCTTAATGTCACTCAAACCTCTAAAGCTTTCCTTTGTAACCTCACATTCATTCACGTCATCATATACACCACTACCCTCAACTGCCTCTTCCACCTCTCTTTGTTTCTTTGGTCTCCTAGACTCGACTTTCCCCTTCCTCTTACCTTTTCCTTTACCCTTTCCCTTCCCATTTCCTTTACCTTTTACTTTGCCTTTCCCCTTTCCTTTCCCTTCATCTTTATCAATAGCAATTTATTTAGCAATTCCAATTGAATCCTCACCAGAGTCCTCAAAGTTCACATTCAACACACTATCATCTTCACTATCACCGCCATATTTTTGGTTACATTTCTGCCCCTCATCTTCTTGGTTACATTTTGATCCATGATAATCATTTTGGCTACAAATAAGTCCCTCAGCTACTGAATCAGTTTGAACACTTACCAGATTAGGCGTGTCATCTAATATCATCTTCTTGGTCACATACAATATGACTAGTGGTCCCATCTAAAGTAATATTCACTATTGTATCTCCAGACACGGTATCCCCCTCAAAGTTAACATCCTGGTATGACTCTTTTTGGTAAATTCTCTCAGTGGTCTCATCCACATTAAAATCCTCAAATGAACCTTCTTGGTCAGCTGCAACTAAATCTTCTACACCAGTGGGCCCTCCTTCATCAAAATTGTCACCCAGATTATTCAATTCTTCAATGGTCCCCAAGTCATCAAAAGTTCCTTTAACACCATTATTCAATTCATCTAACATGTCATCTCTCAAATTGTCGTCTTCTACACCATTGGGGCCTACATTGTTTTCAAGAGGTAATATTTGCTCTTCCCCATACACTGGATAAATTACATATAGATGAACATTCTCATTGATCAGTGCAATCGTTTTCATTATATTTGTTCCTGCGTCATCTTGCAACATCACTAGCTCATTATCATCCATTGCATCATAATACCACAAGCTCTCAACTTTTGGGTATCCTAAATCTTTTAACTCACCCATGATCTCAAAATAACTCCAAAAATTCGGGTCATCTTGCCAAATCTCCTCTAACCCCTTGTAACCTAATCTGTTAACCTCACCAAACACACCCCCATGATGGATAACACATTCGAACGTATCATTCATGACCTAATCACACCAAGTAACTCAGAAATGAGATTTCGAAGTAGAAGAAATTGTTAAACGTTTGTTTTTTAAAATAGTAAGTTCATGCACGTACCTTGGCCTTGAAATGAGACAATGGTTGAGTTGCTAAATATCGTCTTCTGCTATGTTCCAACAATCATCGTCTTCAACCTCCGAGTTCTTCTTCTTCTTTGCAACTGCTAGAGTTTTTTTACAACAAGAGTGGAACTATGAAACTGAAAGAGAAGCTTAAGAGTTTCAAGATTTTATGTTTCTAAAAATGAAAACGAGAAGCACTATGGTACATCATTATAATAATTGGAAAAAAAAATTTTAATGTCACATCACTATCTCATTATGTTACATAGACATCTGTTAATGTTTTTCCAATAAAATTAACTGAAAGGATTTATTAGGCTAACAGAGTTGTCTTAAAAAAACTATATTGTAACGTTTTTTAATTGTGGGACTAAATAGAAACAATAAATTAATTTAAAAAACTAAAAAAATGAATTAAGCCTAATTTTTTTAATAACAAATAAAAATCATTAAAAAAAACATAAATTTAAATATAATTTATATTTTTTTTAAAGTCTAGTTATTTTTATTTTTTACAAAAATAATGGAACTTTAATTATTAATTTTGTCCGTACTTTTGTTTCCTATTATACTTCTTTCGTAACATTATCTTCTTCTTTTTTGGATACAAATTTTCAACATTTTCTACTCGCCACTTTTATTGATCTCGTTAATATGAAAAAGCAGTAGTGGTGACGATTCGGCTTTAACTAGTTGCAGCCTACTAATACCATAACAGGGGTGGTGGCATCTGATCTGGACCAAAAGAACATCAAATAACAACCATTTCAATCAATCATATGCTTTATTATCATCATATCAATGATGCTATATAGTTGTATATTCCATTACAGTTAAAGTATAAACCTCATCTTCAGAATTCAATCTCTAGAATATGCCTTCCTTTTCTTTGGTACAAGGGTTCCAAAGCAGCATAAACTGCTCCCATCCTTTCATCCAATGTATATTTGGTGGCACATGGGACGGTGCAAGCACCACATGCAATGGACCATATAGTTATACTTAAAAAAATACTAATATGTCTTCTGGGCCTTTTTGTGGACCTTGCAAACAGCCCATAACATTTCAATAAAAAAGAAAATCAGTGTACCTAACTAACTAGTGACTCAGATAAACTATCAGATTAAACAAAGATCAATTATGGTAAGGAAAATGACTCAGTATATAAAAATTGAAAATAAGGATGCTCAACACCTCAGAAATTGTGTCAGCTCGCACATTCGGTTTAGTGGTGGGTCCTACCTCAAATTCATTATACACACGTATGTATAAATAGAATTTTGTTTGCTACAACCAATTCATGCTTCAGAGGAGTTACAATTAAACACCATAGCTTAAGATCAAGGTAATGTTTCGTTTAGTTTTTCTCTACTTTTCCATTCCACCGTTCACTTACGATTTGTTATTATTGTTAATAACATGCATAAAGTTTTGATATTATTTTATTATATGGTCCATAATTGATGGACAATGTTCCTTGCTTTGAATTTTGTGATCAAGTATGTCTTTCTTATGTTGATGGCTTAAATTTTGCTAGTGTTGCTTTGAAACTACTTTATTAGGTTTTTTAGTAGCTTTTCTATTTAAAACTTTTCTGTTATGTTCATGAAACTTTAAATATGGTGCCTGTTACCTACTATTAAGCTACTACTGCAACAAGTACTCTTGAACTTAAGATTTTGGTGCCTGTGACTGAAATTTGTATGCAGATTCAAAGTTCATTCAAGATGAGCAGTTGCAGGATTGCCGGAGTCAAATACGAGTGTTTGCTTTTCGGTATGATGCATACTCATTCTTGTTTTATAAATTTAAATTGTTGTTTTCTTCTTTATTGTTTAGATTTTCAAAATAAAGGGAGTAGTAGTATTGATTTTGGTTCAACATGTTGGTAATGACAGACATGGATGACACTCTCTATCCATTGAGCTTAGGGATCAATTTGGCGTGTCGCAAGAATATTATAGGTACAGAGTCTATAGACACATAATATTTTAGTATTCAGATTATTTCATATGTATATGTAATGTAATAGAAGTACTATGGTTAATAAATCTTGTTTGCAGATTATATGTTAGAACACTTACATATTGAAGAAAGTAAAGTATCAAAGATGTGTCTCGATTTGTATCTCGAACATGGAACAACTATGGCAGGAATGAAGGTATGCAGATTTGACATTAACCTCAGTTTTCTCGTCTTAGTTTCTTCTTTTTTGAGTTTTAACTTTAAATTCCGATTATCAGGCCCTCGGCTACGAGTTTGACAATGATGAGTTTCATGCTTATGTGCACGGAAGATTACCATACGAGAAACTAAAGCAAGATTTAGTGTTAAGGAACCTTCTTCTTTCCATGCCTCAGCGTAAAATAGTACGTCACGAAAAACTTCAATTTTCCATGTCAGTTTGTTTTTGTTCATTGAAGAGCATTACATGATATTATTCAACTACTCAATATTATTTGCAGATATTCACCAACGCAGATCACGCGCATGCGATTGAAGTTCTCAGCAGGCTCGGCTTGGAAGACTGCTTTGAGGGCATCATATGCTTTGAAACGCTTAATCCTCTCAGCTCTTGCCGACAAATCCTCTGCAAACCTTCTGTTGAAGCCTTTGAGGCTGCTATTAGAATCGCGAAAGTGGACCCAAAGAAAACGGTAAGACTGATTACTTGTATATATTTTTGTCCCTAGGCTTGAAAACTCTTTGAATCAATGCATGATAGTTCTCTTCTCTTATATCTTCTGCAGATTTTCTTTGATGACAGTGTTAGAAATGTTGCAAGTGGAAAAGTAGCTGGATTTCACACTGTGATTGTAAGATACTATAATTTTCTATCTGCAGTGCAAAAAATCTGATTAATAACTCCATAATCTGTTATCATAAGCAATGCAAGCTAACAAGTAACAACACACTGATGGCAGGTCGGTCGTTCAGATTTAGTGCCTGGTGCAGACCATGCTCTCAACAGCATTCATAATATCAGAGAAGCGTTACCTGAAATATGGGAAGTTGAAGAAGACAACCAACAAAAAATAATCAAATCACTTGCAGTCGAAGCTACGGTCCATGCATAGGTTTTGCTTCGATAAAATATTTTAGTAAGTTTATCAGGCAAATCAAGTGTTTCGCCTCCGTAGAATTTAGTCTATCTAAATTACAATAATGTTGCAACTGTCTCCACAGCACAGTGGTGCTTAAATGTATGAATCTTGCAAATAGCATCACAAAATGTATGCGAGACTATAAACCGCAAAGTTCTGAAGCATAAATTTATCATAGAAAATGACAATTACTGTTCAAGGATTTTGGTACAAGTCTAGTATTACAAAATCATTCACCAAATGCCCTTTCAATAACATAAAATTTTAACTGCGGCAGAGAGCAATGACAATTCAAAAACATGAATTGAACAACTCCCTCGCCCAAACACCCTTCAAAACTGAATTGCACTCGACAGTCAGAAGAATGTACAGCACTCTGGAGTAAAAATCAACCATCTAAAGGCAGTTCTCCAGACTTGGCGATTTTGCACGGTTTCTTGGGACTGTTGTCTAGGCTGCTTGTCTCCTGTGATTCGAGTTTCTGCACAATATCCAGTCCTTCAATCACGTGTCCAAACACAACATGGCGGTTGTCTAACCATGGAGTCTGCAACATGAAAATCACAGCAAATACTTAGTATCAAAACCTAAATCTAAACGAACATAAACAATCTTCAAACAATGTCAGTGTGCCTGTGCGCGCTCGCTATTTGAAATGCTAAATATTATGATTATACAGTTAAGGTGATAAAAAGTGGGCGCATGTATCTCACCGGTACAGTGCAAATAAAAAATTGACTGCCATTGGTATTAGGACCAGCATTCGCCATGCTCAAAACTCCAGGACCAACATGCTTCACTGCGAGGAAAAACTTTGAATACCGATTACTAATAAGTAATTTAAATTTCAATATTAACGATGAAGCACGAAAAGATACATACAATCAAAATTCTCATCTTCAAATTTATAACCATAGATACTGACTCCACCAGTTCCCTGCATCCAATTAAAACATATTAACATCATGCAAATCCAATGAAGCTTGCGGCTTCATTTATGTTCATGCGAGCATACTAACGAAATACAACAAACAGTACTCACGTTTCCTTCGGTGAAGTCGCCTCCCTGAATCATGAACTTTGGTATTATACGATGGAAGAAGCTTCCTTGATAACCATATCCTTTCGCTCCTGGACAAATATTATTCAGCACGATAAATAACACGATATATCAAATATCAGATTCCACCGCGATACTCATACAACTTTTGATTGTTTACCTGTACACAAAGTTTTGAAATTCTCAACTGTTTTGGGAACAGCATCTCCAAATAGACCAATCACAATCCTTCCAGCAGATTCACCTCCAATTTCTATATCAAAGAAACATTTGCTTGTCACTTTGGCTTGCAGCTCTGCAACCTACAAGTAACAGAACCAATCTTTTTTCAATTAAATCAACTACTAATAATTATTTCTGAATTTTAGATGAAACACTTACATCTCCCGGAGCACTACTAGCACATGTTATTCTCCGAGAAGGGATTGATTTGGCTTTAGATTGTTGTGAAACAGAAAGCCTTGGTGCATAATGATATCTTGAAGACAATTTACTGCACCCAATGCTACAAACTACATGTGGCTTTCCCTAAACAGGAAACAAAATTAACAACAAAAAGTTTCCCATTAATAATATAAACTGATAAAAAAAAACACATTCTGTTGAGGCATGGAAGATAAAATGAGCATGAAAAACTAGTAACCTGGACAGCATGAAGGCGAGGGAGTAGGTTCTGACTCTGCACCAGCTGAGTTGAGAATGAAGATGCCATGGATGGATAGTGAAGGAGAAAAAAGAGTTTTTTGTGTGGGAAATATGGCACAACACTTTCTGGATCTCACAGCCAATCTTCTTCACACTCAGGTTTATCTTTTCACTTCACTCACTTCAGCTGAAACCTTAAAAGCACACAACACAGCCGCATTGTGTTATCTTAATGGATAAAGTGATTTTGTCTTTTTTTTTCCTACCAGATAAATGTTTTTTCTTTAATATATCAGATAAATGATTTAAATGACTTTGAAAATTTTCCTTATAACAAAATTATCTTCTTTTTTTTTTTTTTTAAATTTAAGACTTTTCTTTTAAATTTTTATTTACTACTTTCTATAAGATTTATTTCAACTTAACGAGATCATGAGTTATCAACATATCTCTAGAGCTACATATCTCTTTTGGCTTTTAAAAAAAGAACATATCTCTAATGCTACATACTTTTTATAATTTAATAATTACTTTTTATAATATAATAAACACGATTATTTATACATAATCATTTCTCCTAACAAAATTAAACTTGTAAAATTGTATAAATTATCAACCAATTTAAGTTTATAATAAAAAATTTCAATTTTGAAATTTAATCAAAAGAATGGTTAACATATCTTTTTAAACCCTTTAAGAGTGCTCCTCAAGCATACCAAATCATTTCCCTAGGATAAAGTACTAGAATGAAAGCATTATAATAAAGTAAACAAAATTTTTAATTTATTAAATTAAACATTAGTCAATATTTCTTTATATGATGTTTTTTTTTAATAAATTTTTTTATATTTTTAATTGCATGAATTTAAAGTAATATTTTTAAATATCTCTTTTTTGTTACTAATTGATCTACATAAATTATATTTAATAAATTATTAAATAAACATATTCAAAATTCAAATGATTTAAAACTTTTATATATATATATATATATATATATATATATATATATATATATATATATATATATATATATATATATATATATATATATATATATATATATATATATAGTCATGAACTATTATGATAACATCAAGTAGAGCTGTCAAAATGGGTTAGTTCGCTAGGCCTAAAAAATCATAGAATTTATACCTTAAAATTAGAGCTTATTTCTCCCATCCTAAAAAATTCGCTACCCATTAGAGTTAATCTGTATGGGTCATGGGTAGCTCATTAGACCTGCATAACTATAAATTTTAATATATATATATATATATATATATATATATATATATATATATATATATATATATATATATATATATATATATATATATATATATATATATATATATATATATATATATATATATATATATATATATATATATATATATATATATATATATATATATATATATATATATATATATATATATATATATATATATATATATATATATATATATAATAATTACCCAAAATAACACATTGATTTTTTTCACTTCTATCTATATTATACTCAAATTTTCTCTTTTAAATTTTATACATTAATATAATCAACACTCTTTCATCATATTCTATTATTTTCTCTTATGTTAAATATTCGAGTATTATTTTTATACAATTTAAACATGTGTTGTATTTAAAAACACATTATAGTATTTATAAAAGAGATAATATAGTACTTAAAAATATATTATGTTTAAAATAATATAATTTTTAATTTAAAAAAAAAAATTGTTTAGGGCTGGGTAGCCCGAAGTCCATCTAAGGACGAATTTAATAGTAATTTTCAAACCCATTTTACAACAAAGTTTTTTAGTCCGACCCTTAAAAACTCGAGACCCACTAGACTAACCCGTTTAGAGTCGGGTAGTCTATTTTGATAATTCTAACAATAAACATATCACGCGTTTAGAATTAAAACAAATGTTTATTTGATTTTTTTTATAAAAAAAATATAAAAAAGGTGAATAGCATTTATTTATATTTGTGTATTAATGTAAATAAATTATTGATATCTACAAAATAACTTTTATTAAAAAAATATAAAAGAGATAAAATTTAGAAAATAACATTTTGTTCAAATGTGAACTTATGTGGACCATCTAGTGATATTATAGCCTTCACATGATCCATGGTTGTGGGTGCTTTGATCTTCATGTTTTCATCTAATACACTATTTATCAAAAAGAGTAGGATATTATTAGAATATTAATAGTAATTCATATTTATTTAGTTGTACTATTTTTTTAGCCTCTAAGTTTGTTAGAGGGTATTTTAGTATTTTATCTTATTCTAGTAACCCTAGTTTTAGCTTATAAATAGGGTGACAATCATTGTAACTTTTATCATGTTTTGTAGCCGTCATTCTCTTTAATAGAATATTTCCCTATTTCATCATTTAATTCTATCTTTGCACCAACAAATTGGTATCTAGAGCTCCGGTTCAGATTCATTGGGAAACACGGGAAACACGAGTGAACGTGAGGTCTTGTGTGTTTGATTTTGTTTCTCAGATTCTTGTTGAATCTTGAACAAAATCTGATCATAATTTTTTAATTCTGTGGGTTGGGAAACACTGTGTGAGAAAACTCTGAGTGTATTGTGCAAAGTAGAAGATGAACGGAAACGGCAACATGAACACCAAACTTCCAGTATTTGACGGTAAAAATTGGAATCGTTGGATGATCCAAATGCGTGTACTATTTGGTGCTCAAGATGTTCTGGATCTTGTCACTGATGGTTATGTTCCGGTAGCAGCAGATGCGATTGATGAACAGAAAAACGCGCAGAAGGAAGTAAGGAAGAAGGATCAGAAAGCATTGTTTTTCATTCATCAATGTGTGGATGTAAACGTATTTGAGAAGATTGCAGACTCTACAACAGCAAAGGCTGCATGGGACACTCTGGTGAGATGTTATGGTGGTGACGCATCAGTGAAGAAGGTGAAGCTTCAGTCCTTGAGAAAGCAATATGAGAATCTCAACATGAAGAATAATGAGAAAGTTTCTGAATACATCTCCAGAGTGATTCTGATCACTAATAAGATGAAGGCATGTGGAGAAACTCTTTCTGAAGAAACAATCATGGAGAAAGTGTTGAGATCCCTTACTCCTCAATTTGATTACATTGTGGTAGCAATAGAACATTCCAAAGATCTGAGCACAATGAGAATTGAAGAGCTGCAGAGCAGTCTAGAAGCGCAAGAGTTGCGTCTGACTGAGAGAAACTCTGAAAAGGAAGTAGAACAGCAGGCTCTGAAAGCAACTTCTGATAGGAGGTATCAGAAGCAGTCAGAAGCCAGGAGAAGATCTGATGGTGGTCAGAAGTCAGAAAGCTCAACCTCTGATAGACAAAAGAATGCTCAGAGGGGAAAAGAGAAGTATGACAAAAGAAAAATACAATGTTACTGTTGTAAGAAGTTTGGCCATTTTGCTAGAGATTGTTGGTCAAACAAGGAGAAGAAATCAGAAGAAGCAAATATAACCAGAGGCTCTGATGACGAATTTGTGCTGTTGATGGCCTCTGAATCTGATAATGTGGATCTGACAGACTAGTGGTATATGGACACTGGCTGTTCAAATCATCTTACTGGAAACAAGAAATGGCTGGTTGACTTTGACTCTGAAAAGAGAACAAAGATCAGATGTGCTGATGACAAATATCTTAATGCAGAAGGTATGGGAAATTTCAGAGTGACTCTGAACAATGGGAAAATAGCATTGATTCAGAATGTGTGGTATGTACCTGGCATCAGAAGCAATCTGATGAGTGTGGGACAATTAATTGAGAAAGGTTTCTCAGTTACCATGAAGGACAATCTTCTGAAGCTGTATGACTGTAATCAGAAGTTGATTATGGAGTCAGAACAGGGAAGGAATAGAACATTCAAGGTGAATGTCAGAACTGCAGACTCAGAGTGTCTTAGTGCAACAAGTACTGAGAAGGAGAGTGAGTTGTGGCACAGAAGATTTGGTCATTTGAATTTTAGAAGCTTACAACATCTGAATTCAAAGAAATTGGTACATGGAATTCCTGCAATTAAGAAGCCTGAAAAGTCATGCAAAGTTTGCATGGAAGGAAAACAACCAAGATTGCCATTTGCATCAGAAGTTACTCCAAGAGCAAAACATGCCTTGGGAGTTGTACACTCTGATGTGTGTGGTCCATTTCCAGTAGCATCAATTGGAGGGAATAAATACTTTGTGCTGTTTGTTGATGAATTCACAAGAATGACATGGGTATCCCTTATTAAGTTCAAACACGAGGTGTTTGATGAATTCAAGAAGTTCAGAATGAAGGCTGAGAATCAGAGTGGTCAGAAGTTGAAGATTCTTAGAACTGATGGTGGAGGTGAGTATAACTCCAAAGAGTTCCAGAAGTTCTGTGAGGAGAATGGAATTGAGCATGAGGTTACTGCTCCCTATACCCCTCAACACAATGGTCTTGCTGAAAGAAGAAACCGCACTCTGCTTGATATGGGAGAAGCAAGCATATTGAGACCAAGTATCATTTTCTGAGACATCAAGTTCAGAGTGGAGTGTTAGAAGTTGTACACTGCAGCACTCAGAAGCAGTTGGCAGATGTTCTGACGAAAGCTATCAAGACTGATCAATTTCTCAGACTAAGGGATGGAATTGGTGTTACAAGTTTTGATGGAATATGAATTAAGGGATGGTATTAGAATATTAATAGTAATTCATATTTATTTAGTTGTACTATTTTCTTAGCCCCTAAGTTTGTTAGAGGGTATTTTAGTATTTTATCTTATTCTAGTAACCCTAGTTTTAGCTTATAAATAGGGTGACAATCATTGTAACTTTTATCATGTTTTGTAGCCGTCATTCTCTTTAATAGAATATTTCCCTATTTCATCATTTAATTCTATCTTTGCACCAACAGATATAACTACAAAAACACTTTGATGTCAAAGTAATATAAATTATATGTAAATAGTGGGTGAAATTTAGTTAGGACCAGTGTATTTTTACTCATGATGAAGAAGTAAAGTTTTAAATTATTGATATATTAGTATTAATTTGGACAGTCAAAATAATT